AAAATGTACGAAAAAAAAAGAGACAATTTTGTTTCATTAAAAAAAGATATTCCTAATCTATTTAGGATTTTTTGATAAAACTAACTTCAAATCTTATAAAATTTTACTTTTTCTTTATTTTAAATCTAAAATAAATAAATAAATAAATAATCATAAATTGACTTGAACTAATTACACAAAAAAAAAAAGACCCTTTAAAATAAATAAGCCAGTTTCAAATAAGTTTAGAATAAATCTGAGGATAAATAACAATTTTGTTATTAAGTTTAAATAATACAATGTCCAAAAATTAAGTTAATTCATACTAAAGTTAATAAAGCGACCGTGCCAGAACCACGGGACTCGAGGGGTGCCTAACACCTTCCCCTCGGTCAACCGAATTCCTTACCCGAATTTCTAGTTCGCAGACCAATAAAAAATAGAGTCAAATTTTCTTTTGATTAGGGATTTTTAAAAAAGGTGACTTGGAACACTAAAACTCAATTCCAAGTGGCGACTCTAAATAAAAATTATCCCTTTTCAAAACGTCACTTTAATTGGAAAAACTCTTTTTCTTTCAAAAAATAAAAATAAAAAATAATTGGAAAAAAAAGGGGTGTGACTGATGGTGACTCCGCTGGGATTAACTAGAATTCGAGCTTTAAATATTAATTTATGTATGACTATGACTTATATATTTACGCTTTTTGGATATTGTATTTATTTTAACTTAATATGCTTATTGTTTATTTATTTAATGTTTTAATAATATTTGAATTGCTTCTCTCCCGAACCATTCTGAGTCTTCAATAAAAATATGATGGGAATTGCAACTATGCACCCCACTTCTGTCAAGATAGCCAGTGGATCTTCGGTCCATGGTGAAGGATATGTAGTCACACCATTTTAGGATAGGGAGCACCCATGCACAAAGCCGGAAAGCGCTGCTACCGGTACGTTGCTACTCCCTGACTCGAGTTGTCCGCTCGTTTTACAGCCAGTCTAGATATCTTACCTTAGTAGAATTGAAACTTTCAGACATGATATCCTTACTAGGTTCCGATTTATTTGCATTGTGTGGATATAACTTAGCGAAATTTAGCATAGGGGCCCAATTTGACTAAGACAAATATCTAATCGTGCGACCATCATGTGCATTTTTGTGCTACTTGTTGCATCATGTGAAGACTGTAACAAAATGTTGACCGGCTTTAGGATAATCGACTAAAGAAATAAATATTTATTTTCTACCCATTTTCAACCAATGATTCAAAATAAACAAATTAATACACATATATATACATACACGCCTAATCCTCAATTTTATTTTTCACTTTTATTAAAACAATACATAAATAATAAATATAATAATATTAATAATATATGTATATATGTCTTTTAAATTGTACATATACACCTTCTTTTATTTTCCTTTCTTTTTTTCAAAATTGTTCATTCTTTTCAAAACAATCTGAATCAATGATCACTTCAGACATTCCGAATCATTTTTATTTTTTAACTACTCCAATAAATAATTTCGAATTATAAAAAAATTTCACAATTTCGAATTATAAAAAATTTTCACAATTAAAAATCCCGATTTTCTTTTTTTTCTCAACCAGGTAATCTTGAGATTTATGAGGTGTGATAAAAGACCAAGGGATGAACTAGTCGAAATGGTCAATGATCCCCCAAAGTTTATGATCACAGATAAAACCCCACAATTACTAATGGATTGGTGGAACGATATGCATGAATTTAGGCGGACTGAGATATTCAAACATCTTGGTTTCCTTACAGATATCATGAGAGTTAGTCCTAACAGAGGTTTGATCGAGGCTTTGATTCCATTTTTTGGGATTCCACAAATAATGTGTTTCGATTTAGTGATTTTGAGTTGACGCCTACATTAGAAGAATTGGGTGGTTTCACAGGCTTAGGCCAAGATCTTCGAACTAAAACATTGATAGCCCCTAGAGCGTCAGCAGAGGTAAATTTTTAGAACAGATGCACATTATCCATCCTCATAAGGAATGTGAGTTTTGGATAGTGGGTTGGTATCTTTGGAATTCTTGTACTCAAGATATGGAAAGAAGGAAGGATTTTCAAGCTATGGGAATCAACTTAAAAATGGACAACACCTCCCTACTTGGGAAAAACATACACAAGAAGCATTTATGGTAGCATTCTTGGGAGCTATGATTTTTCCAAGGAAGGATAAAAAAATTGATATTCGTCTGTCAGGGATAGTCATTGTTATGATAAAGAAAAGAAAATCCACTATAATGCCAATGATGTTGGCTGATATTTATCGTGCTTTGACTAAATGTAGAGAGGGGGGAGATTTTTTTGAAGGTTGTAGCATTTTATTGCAAATGTGATTTTTAGAGCACCTATATCGCCATCGTTTTGCGACGGATTTCAAATCTGATTGGACGAATTATATTTTGAGACACCCCAAAAAGATGAAAGAATTAGGAGACAAATTGCCAAAAGGTGTCAAAGCATGGAGACATTATCTTCTTAAACTGACGACATCTAAAATTACATGGAACTATCATTGGTTTCCTGCTAGTGAGGTAATTGTTATGTCTTCCTATCGTTCATTCTTCGTTCTGACGGGCCTTCGTGGGTTCCAACCATACATACCCCTCCGAGTTCTACGCCAACTTGGACAAAAATAAATTTTACCTAAAGCCGAGGATACGCAAAATTTTGTGTGGGAAATAGCATTTGAAGATCAAGATCGAGAATCAGAAGCTCAAAAGATTTGGGGTGGTAGTCGAACTTTAAGTTCGAAAGCTATGGTTGATGATCGTGTTGAAGGAGAAGTTGACCCCTTATACCTCCATTGGTTCTTAGATCAAACCCCTCTCAAAATAATGCCCGAAGGATCTGCGCGAGAAATCATAGATTGAGAAGAGGAAATTGAAGTAAGAATCAAGCAGGCCCGACTCGAGGTGGAAAAAAATTATAGGTCTACTTTAGATATCCTAAGCAATGACCTAAAAATGTTAAAGAAGAGTTGACTCGACGTGATGCAATATTCAAAGAAAGAGATACTTTGATTGAAAAAAGGGTTGAAAAGAAGCATCTATCTACTATTCGAACCCTACATGAAGATTTGGGCATTGTCACAGGTGTTATGGAGCAACAGGAGGAAGAATATAAGAAAGAAAAGAGCCTCTTAATACATGCGCAAGCTAGGTTACAAAATCAATTAAAAGCCTCTATGGGACGAGAAAGGGACATCGCAAACCGTTTCACATTGTACCAAGAAGAAGTGGCGACCCAAAGAAATCAATGGATGGAAGAGCGTGAAGAATTTCATAACCAAATTGAAGAGCTTCAAGCACATGAAGAGCATCTGAGTGATACAGTTATCACTACTAAAGAATGGTTGCAGAATTGTCACGAGAATATTGAGGAGGCGAAAGGACAAGTGCTTCAGTTGACAGAAAGCTTGATTGATGTTTATAGTGGTCATCTCCATCGAAGTGATGAGAGCCTGGGTCGAGAGACGCGTGCATTAGCCCCACATCTGCCGAAAGCTTTGTTCAAGATCTACTCTAGCCTAGGGGGCAATTGATGATCAAGAAATGTCGGAGATGGATATTTTTTTTTTTATTATTTTTCCCTCTTTTTAGTTCGTCATTTTTTAATAAGTACTTTGATGTTTTATTTTGGTTATTTTGATTTGAATGGTATTTTCAAGTTAAACAAATGTCGTATTTTTCTTTTGAAAGAAATTTATCCACATGAACTACGTAATGATCTGATTTATGTTTAAACATGATACGTAGGCAACCTTTAATAGGTTCGATCAAAATGCATTCAAATTATTCAAGTAAGTAAAGTAGGGGACCAAATGACATAAGCAAGTCATCCAAAGCCGGGATGAAACATAAAAGTCTTCCAGAACACATTATAGACATATGAAAATCTATGTGCATAACGTACAACGTGAATTTAATATCCTCAATATGTTGAATCCTAACACATGTTTATATATATATATATATATATATATATATGAGAATTTAGAGAGTTTAAAAGGTGGTTGGTTTGTGAGGAGAGCTGGCATCTCATCAATATAACACAAGATCAAAAGGGAAAGAAAAAATGACACATAAAGACGGAACAGAGTCGAAAAATGACGACGCACAAACCCAAATGGTTGCACAAGAATTGGTACCTATAGAAGAGGTGAAAATGTTAAGACAACAGATGACTGAAATGTATGAAGCTTGGATGAATGGCCAAGCTCCTCCGCCTTCAATTCGAGAATATTTGAATGTGAATATGTCATTCCCCATCCAAGTCTCAACAAGTGACCCGGTTTATCCACCTGGGTTTGGACCCTACATTAACACATCTAATACTGCCGGAACTTCCTCAGTAAATCCGTTAAAACCATCAATGATGAATAATCCACTTTTCATGCCTACTGTCCAAACTAATACAATTCCTCAACCGACATTGGTACAACAATCCAATGATGACCCTATACTCAAAGATCAATACGGCCAAGGTCATGCCCCTAAATTAACTTTCAATGTTCCTAACTCTTACCACCACCAATACAGTTCTCCCGTTGAAGTTGAGAAAAACATTAAGAATAAGGAACATGAAGAAATTGCAAGAAAAATGAGGAGTTTGGAACAAAACATAAGGAATATGCAAGGTCTGGGAGGACACAAAAGTGTCTCATCTAAGGACTTGTGCATGTTTCCAGATGTTCACTTGCCTCTAGGGTTCAAAACTCCAAAATTTGATAAATATAATGGTCATGGCGATCCAGTGGCTCATTTGAGAAGATTCTGTACTCAGTTGAGAGGAGCCGGAGGAAAAGAAGAACTTCTATGGCTTACTTTGGAGAGAGTTTAACGAGCGTAGCATCAGAATGGTTTATCGATCAGGACATTTCTCATTGGCACGTTTGGGATGATATGGCACAAAATTTTGTCCAACAATTTCAATACAATATTGATATTATTCCCGATCGCAATTCCCTAGCTAATATGAAAAAAAAGCCATCAAAAAGTTTTAGGGAATATGCCATAAGATGGAGGGAGCAGGCGGCTAGAGTCAAACCGCCGATGAAAGACTATGAGTTAATTGATGTTTTTCTCCAGGTTCAAGAACCTGACTACTTTCATTATCTTCTCGCCGCAATGGGCAAGCCTTTCGCCGAAGCAATTAAGATTGAAGAAATGGTAGAGAATGGCATAAAGTCAGGTAAGATTGTGAGTCAAGCAGCCATTAGAGCTACCACACAAGCAATACAAAGTGGATTCGGTAATTTTACCAATCGAAAAAAGAAGGAGGAAGGGTCCATGGCGGCATCTGGATCAAGAGGTGTTCAAATAGGCATGAACAATCCTTATTGTCAAGTCCAACAAGAACAATATAATTCTCCTCGGCATTATTACCCGTCCCAATATGCAGTTCTCAATACTCAGGCATATGTCCGGCCTCCTTCGCGCCAACAATGGCGGGGGCCTGCCCCACAAGTTTCTCGCCCACAACAACAAAATTTCCAGGCGCCATATAATCCACGTCCCCGGGCAAACTATACGAGAGAACAAGGTCAAAAAGAAAATTTTACCCCAATTGGGGAATCGTATACGAGTTTGTTACGGAAATTGATACAATTGAGACTGGTTGAACTTGTCAATCCGTACGTTGTCAATCTAAATGCAAGAGGTTTTGATCCGACTGTTATATGCGAGTATCACACCAACGCTCCAGGTCATAGCACAGAGAATTGTTGGACCCTAAAAAGAGTCATTGAGAAGTTAATTGAGGATAAGGTAATCGAGGTACGCAATGAGGAAGCACCGAATGTCACTAATAACCCACTCCCTGCTCATAATAATGAGCGTGTTGTGGGGATGGTTGGCATTTTTGAAGATTATGAGCAAACAAGTAGAACAAAAGTGGAAAGCAAGGTTTTAAGAGAAGAGTCTAGTATGATTTTAGAACCCATACAAAGGGCACTGATAATTGTTAAAGGTGCACGTTCGAATTCTGGGAACTCGAGGAAGCTAGTGTTGTATGTCCCTGAATCTATAAAAAGAGGAGACGTACCGTTGAAGGGACCAAAATGCTACATTCCTGGTAAATTTTCAATGTTTGATCAAAATCAAAAAGGTATGAAAGAGCTACTTGTGATACAAATTGCAGCGCAATTTCCTATCACAAACACCAAGGCCGTTCCGTGGAACTACAACAAAGTCGTCGTTACTCACAAGGGAAAGGAGATAGTCGAAGAAACAAATGAAACAAGAAGCTTAAATCGTTCCGGAAGATGTAATGCTCCAGAAGAATTAAGGAGGGACAAACAAATCAAAGAAAATCAGTTGCCGACGAAAAAACCAGTCACTGAGGAAGATGCTGAAGAGTTTCTGAAAAAGATGAAAGCTCAAGATTATTCTGTTATAGATCAGTTGAGGAAAACGCCTGCTCAAATCTCTTTATTGTCATTACTCATACATTCTAAAGAACATCGTGAAGTGTTGACCAGAATTTTGAATGAGGCACATATATCAGAAAATATTACAGTAGGTCACTTGGAAAACATGGTCAATCGAATTTTTCAGGTAAATAGAATCACTTTCATGGATAATGAATTGCCCTTGGAAGGATCTGGACATAATAGGGCTCTACATTTAACCGTGAAATGTGAAGAACACTATGTGAAGAGAGTCATGGTCGATGGAGGATCAGGTGTAGACATATGCCCTCTTTCCACTCTACAGAGCTTAAAAATCAACACTGATAGAATTCGTACTAACAATGTTTGTGTACGGGCATTTGATGGTGCAAAACGGGATACTCTAGGCGAAATATACTTAATTGTTACAATTGGACCAGCGGAGTTTGGAATCACTTTCCAAGTTATAGACATGGACACGTCTTACAATCTGCTTTTGGGTAGGCCATGGATCCACATGGCAAAAGTTGTGCCATCTACTCTACACCAAGTGGTCAAGTTTAAACATGACAAACAAGAAATCATTGTCCATGGTGAAGATGATCTCCCAATCACCTGAGATCCTTCAATACCATGTATTGAGGCCAAAAGAGGTTGTGAATCCCTCAACTATCAGGCTTTGGAGATAATAATGGTTAATTAGTTCTTAGAAGGAAATCCTATCCTCCAACCTCGTCTGTCCTCTACTTCAGTCATGGTGGTGGCTCAAATGGTACAAAATGGCTATGAACCCGGAAAGGGCAAGGAATTGTGAATCCTATCAGTCCAATGGGTAATCAAGATACATTCGGTTTGGGTTTCAATCCAACTAGATTTGATAGGGGCAAAAGATTGTAAAAGAAATGCTTGGAATCTGTCGAAGCCGATCCCCCATATTGCTCAATCTTTCATTAAATCTCAAGGTGAACCGTGTCCAGAATTATCAATCCCAAGTGATGTGGATGAAATGTGCCAAGGTATCAAGGAAATGTTTTATGAGGTAAATATGACTCAGAGGGGTGAGGGCACTAGTCATATGGATGTGCAGTTTATCGGTCCGAATGTCCAACTCAATAACTGGAAAGCCACTCCTCTCCCTACAAAAAAGGAGTCATGGTAGTTTTGTTTTGCCGTTTTTTTTATTTTATTTTTCTTGGATTATTCTCAGGGTTGTAATTCAAACATTCTAGTTGTTTCGCTTTATTGTTAACCCTTCTATCATTTCCCATTCAATGCAATAAAGTTCTAGTCATCTTCTGTGTTCCTACTCTTTCTAATATTTGTCATCTTATTTTCATTTCAGTTACCTTAACTTTAATAATATGACATGCATGCGGAGTTTACAATTAGATCCTAAAAAGTTGTCTGATCTCATAACAATGAATCCTAAGTCTAAGGAATATGATGAAGATGAAGCTGATGAAGAAATTAAAAGGGGTTTGGATCAATTTGAAAATAAGCCTAAACCTAATTTAGGTGAAACAGAGGTGTTTAATTTGGGAACTCCCGAAGAAGTGAAAGAAATAAAGATAAGCATTCATGTCGATCGAACTATTCGAGACGACATAATTCAAGTTTTAATTGAATACAAAGATGTCTTCGCTTGGTCATACGATGACATGCTTGGGTTAAGTGCTGATTTGGTAGTTCACAAACTTCCCATACATCCTGATTTTCCACCTGTCCAGCAAAAGCAGAGAAAATTTAAGGCAGATATGAGCGATAAAATCAAAGAGGAAATCATGAAACAACTGAATGCAAAAGTGATCAGGGTCGTCCAATACACTACTTGGTTGGTTAATGTTGTGCCAGTACAAAAAAAGGATGGAAAGATCAGAGTTTGTGTTGATTATCGAGATTTAAACAAAGCAAGTCCAAAAGACAATTTTCCACTACCCAACATTCATATCTTGGTTGACAATTGTGCTAAACATGAGATTCAATCTTTCGTGGACTGCTACGCCGGATATCACCAAATTCTCATGGATGAAAAAGACGCTGAAAAAACTGCTTTCACTACCCCATGGGGTACATATTGTTATAGGGTCATGTCATTTGGTCTAAAAAATGCAGGGGAAACCTACATGAGAGCTATGACTACATTATTCCATGACATGATGCATAAAGAAGTTGAGGTGTATGTCGATGATGTCATCATTAAGTCTAGAATGCAAATTGACCATGTGCGTGATCTAAGAAATTTTTTTGAAAGGTTGAGAAAGTACAATCTCAAGCTTAATCCGGCTAAATGTGCATTTGGAGTTCCATCTGGCAAGCTTTTGGGTTTTATAGTTAGCCGAAGAGGCATTGAATTAGACCCCTCCAAAATAAAGTCCATTCGTGAATTGCCACCTCCAAAAACCAAAACTGAAGTCATGAGTTTTCTGGGAAGGTTAAACTATGTCAGCCGATTCATCGCTCAACTCACTACTACATGCGAGCCGATATTCAAGTTATTGAAAAAAGATGCTGCTATTAAATGGACAAGTGAGTGTCAAAATGCTTTTGAAAAAATTAAGGAATATTTAGCAAATCCTCTGGTACTGGTCCCCCCCAGATCCTGGTAGGCCTTTGTTTTTATACCTCTCGGTAACGGATAATTATTTTGGTTGCGTTTTAGGAAAACATGACGTCACAGGGAAAAAGGAACAAGCCATCTATTACTTGAGCAAAAAGTTCACATCCTATGAGGCAAAGTACATTCTATTAGAAAAAACATGTTGTGCTTTAACTTGGGTCGCCCAAAAATTGAAGAACTATTTTTTGTCCCACACCACTTACCTCATATCTCGAATGGATCCTCTGAAATATATTTTTCAAAAAGCCATGCCGACGGGTAGGTTGGCAAAATGGCAGATTTTGCTTACCGAATTTGATTTTGTGTATGTTACTCGCACCGCCATGAAAACACAAGTGTTGGCCGATCATCTGGTAGAGAATCCGATTGATGATGAATACGAACCCTTAAAGACGTACTTCCCAGATGAAGAGATCAACTCTATTGAGGAAGAAATTCCTGATAATGACCCCGTATGGAAATTATATTTTGATGGGCTATCTACAAAAATGGAGTGGGAATTGGGGCAGCTCTTATCTCACCAAGTGGTTGTCATTATCCTGCCACAACACGACTTCGATTCTTTTCTACCAACAACACAATAGAATACGAAGCTTGCATCATGGGTTTGAATATGGCAATAAATCTGGATGTACATGAGCTCTTAGTCTTAGGGGATTCTGACTTGCTCATTCGACAAGCTCGAGGCGAATGGGAAACTTGAGACATTAAGCTCATACCGTACAAACAATGTTTAGAAGATCTCATCAAAAAATTCAAGTCCATTGAATTTAGATATATTCCCAGGTTTCACAATGAGTTGGCTGATGCTTTGGCCACCTTAGCATCGATGCTTTCATACCCAGGTAATGCCTACATTGACCCGTTGGAAATCCAAGTTAGGGATCAACATGGTTATTGCAATATAATTGCGGTAGAGGCAGATGGTGAGCCTTGGTATCACGACATCAAAAAGTTTATAAAAGCTAGAGAATATCCACTGCATGCTGATAGAGATCAAAAAAGAACTATTAGGCGACTTGCCAATGGGTTCCTCTTAAGTGGCGATATCTTATACAAAAGGACTCCGGATTTGAATTTATTACAATGTGTGAATAATCAAGAGGCGGAAATAATTATGAATGAGGTACACTCAGGGGTATGTGGCCCACACATGAATGGTTACGTCCTAGCAAAAAAGATTATTCAGGCAGGGTACTATTGGTTGACCATGGAGCGAGACTGCTTCCAATTTGTTCGCAAGTGCCATCAGTGCCAAATTCATAGCGACTTGATTCACTCACCCCCTTTAGAGTTGCATCCTATGTATGTTCCATGGCCTTTTGTTACATGGGGCATAGACGTTATTGGGCCAATAGAGCCAAAAGCATCTAACGGTCATCGGTTTATTTTAGTTTCCATCGATTACTTTACCAAATGGGTAGAAGCTGTCACATTCAAATCAGTTACCAAGAAAGCGATGGTGGACTTCGTTCATTCCAACATCATATGTCGTTTTGGAATACCAAAAATAATTATTACAGACAATGCAATGAATCTCAACAACCACTTGATGAAGGAAGTTTGTGAGCAATTTAAAATTGCTCATCGTCATTCAACCCCTTATCGTCCCAAAGCAAATGGGGTTGTTAAAGCTGCGAATAAGAACATCAAGAAGATTCTTAGGAAAATGGTGCAAGGATCTAGACAGTGGCATGAGAAATTACCCTTCGCTCTCATGGGATATCGCACGACTGTTCGTACGTCAGCCGGTGCAACTCCTTACTTATTGGTTTATGGAACTGAGGTTGCCATACCCGCAGAAGTTGAAATCCCTTCTCTTCGAACCATTGTTGAAGCAGAAATCGAGGATACAGAATGGGTTAAATCGAGGTTATAACAATTAGCGCTGATAGAAGAAAAACGATTGACATCAATTTGTTTTGGTCAATTATATCAGCAGAGGATGGCTCGGGCATATAATAAGAAAGTACGCCCAAGGAATTTTGAAGTGGGTCAACTTGTTGTAAAACGTATCCTTCCCCACCAAGACGAGGCCAAGGGAAAGTTTGCTCCAAATTGGCAAGGCCCTTATGTTATTAAGCAAGTGTTATTCAAAGGAGCTCTGCAATTGGCGGATATGGAGGGAAAGGCAATTGACACAATTGTCAATGTAGATTCGATCAAGAGATACTACATTTAGCACTCCTCATTTTTATGATGAGAAGATAAAAATGTATCCTCTTTATCTCAAACACCACTAGTCTGGTGCCTTAAAAAACGAAAAAAATAGAAAAAAATTAAAAAAAACACGAAAAGTTCATTAAACTACGTTTGACCTGATTCCTAAAAGGATACGTAGGCAGCCCTTCATTAGGGTTCGGTCTAATCACTCAATCAAAAGATAATCATGTTCTTCAGTTCTCTAAAAGTAGAGACATTATGTTGGCGAACTATGGAGAAAATGAAGAAGAGAGTGTTGTGAGTGAAAACCCTTACGGGAACTATAAGACGATGGTTAGTTGAGTGACAAAGATTAGAATGTCTTAATGGTGAAAAATCACGAAAGGTGTTACTGATCAAATGATGACATTTTGTCTGGACATGAGCGCCATCATGATAAAAGTCAAGCTTAGACTGAAAGGTGCAACATTGTTTCCTGAGATTTAGATAACTCAAAAAAAGATCAAACATTCGGTCCAATTGCATGTCATGTTTCAAAGTTGTCACGTACTTTCAGATAAGATTCTTTTCACTCATTTAAACATTTTCTTATTTATCTTCTACTTCTAAAGACACAATTTTTCCTTCATAACCCTTTCATTCGTGTCATTATTGCTTGTGTTTCTTTGAGTTTTTATTTTTCTTTCTCAGTATCAACTCGTGTCAAGTGAGAAAATAAAATTAAATCCGCAAAATTGACTACGGTATTTCCAGTTGAATGTTGGGAACATGCACCATATTGGCTAGGGCTGTGAACCTACCGAAAAAATAAATATCATAAATCGATACCGAGATGAAAA